ATTTATAGCAGCAACAATGATCAGAAAATTTAAGAGCACATAAAACACAGTTATTACCCTTTATTTTAGGAGATAGAAGTAACCTTTACTCTGTCTTTAAATCAGTGATGTAATATGGTTACTTTTAACAGTAACAGTACCACCAAAAGCTCAAGCAGGATTACTTTTGTTTAGATCAAGTTAAAGTAGTTTTAATTAGACACTGAAATAATTTTCAGTTCTTCAGAATTGATTCAGCAGACTTTGTAAAATATTTTTGATCGGAAGAATTTAGTCTGAAAAAAAATTTGGTCAGGTTCGAACCAAACATGTCAGGGAAGCCCTAATAATAATTTATTGTATTTTTCATACTGTTTAGCACAGTAAATTTTGAACTCAAATCATAAAATGTTGAAGGTAAACCAGTTTTGCTTTAGGCAACAAGTTAAATGTGCATTTGTCTAAATTATCACAAAAAGGTAAAATTACTGCACAGGATTTCAGATTGAAGCATGCACTTAAAATATTTTGGATTTTTGGAACCTAGTATTTCAGACCATTAGAATACTGGCATAAAGCGCAAAACACAAAGTTCAAGAGTTTTTAACTGGCTTCCTAGACACTGCATAGCTCCATAGGGGTTGTTGATTTTGGAAAGCGCATCTAGAGGCAACAGGTACAGCCCGAACTCAGGACTTAAAGTTCAGAAGAACTTGTAGCGTAACAGAGGTTTGAAGGGTGCTAATGACAAATGGCTCTATTTACTGACACTCAAATTAATAGAGAGTGGAAGCTAGAATTTTAGCAAAAATACTTAGCTGAGACTAAATGTTGCCCAATTCACCATATTTCCCCGTTCTCACATAATCTATTTTTTGTGAAGAACATGGTGCAGCAAATTAAATTATAGTCTAATGGTGATTCAAATAATCAATCATGGTAGAATGCCAAAGGGACTGTCTTTATTTGCTGTTCTAATTTAGGACTACTGTTTCTCCATCCATGTCACTGGCAGAACTACCGCCAGTGTTGTGGGGCTCATCTCTGGTCAGAGATCCAGTCAGGTGCCCGCTCTGTGCAACAGAGCCCCTGTCAGATGACTCAAATTTATCTGAATACCCGAGTCGGTTGGTGAATTCAGTTGCACTTATCATTTGACTTTCTGTAAGTATATTCCTAACTAGAAGGCATATCTGCTACAGTGGCAGTTTTCACCCAATAAACAAACTATTTAATACACAAAGCTTGAGACTATATACACAGATCAGACACAACAATAAAACCACCATCAATGCATCAATCAGACTTACTTGCATCACTTTTGTTAGGTACTAACCACTTCATACAGGAAACACCCACAAGACTTGTCGTTTCGGAGATGCTCTGACCTAGTCGTTTAGCCATTATTATTTGGACCTTGTCAAAGTCACTCAGATCTTTTCTCTTGGCCGTTAGTCCTGCTTCCAACACATGGAAGTCAAGAACTGGCTGTTCACTTACTGCCTAATATATCACACCCCGTGACAGATGCCATTGTAATGATATAATTTAATGTTATTCACCTCACCTGTCAGTGGTTTTAATATTGTGGCTGATAAATATATTTTGTTCATTTCCCCTGCTTTATGCAGAAATACTGTAAATGACACCCTTCCTTCTCTCAACTTGTATATCTGCAAAGTTCATTTTGTGTGATCCACGTGTGATCCACAATTAGGTAGCATTATGCAGCTAGGCAAATGGGTAATTAGGGAGGGCTTTGTGCACTTTAGCATGTGCAGGTTAAAGTAGCTGCATGGATTCAGCTTCAAAGTACAGTTAAATATTATTGTATATTGGCATTATCCTTAAACACAGATATTTTAAAGAACATACCTCAACTGACTGTCTTTTTTGTATTTTATTTTCCCACTAACTATATACAATTTAAAAAAAAAATTCCCTTGAGGGCTAAATTTCCAGATCTGTCTGATGTATTGCAAAAGCAGTCATACCATGTAATCTTGGTAATGTTATGCATCTCTATTATTTCTGTAATATCGTGAATAAATATTGACATATATTGACATTTGATGTATTTGTATACATTTTTATTAGCTATCCTCAAACAACAATCTGTATACAAATATTTTTTTTCTTTTATCATATATTGTGTGCTCCTAAAATAAATGTAGGTTTATTCATTATTTTTAGAAAGGCTTTCAGTGCTAAAGGGGTTAATAAGTGCAATGATATTCGCCTCCACCTGGAAAATTTGCAGGTCTTCAAGTGGTCGTTACAGTTCCACTTACAATGGCTTGGTTAGATAAAAATAATATTAATCTGTTGGGAATATGTCTTAAACTTGATTTATGGGAACACAAATTCAGGTGATAGAGGCACATTAAAATCATAAAAGACTCAGTTTGACAGACACATACAAGCTGATTTATCAGGTTAAGAAAGCTTTGTTCTAAGAAATAAAATTTCTTTGTTATTCATTACTCTGTCTTGTTGCCAGTCAGAATTTGTATCCTATAACACCTTAAACTTAAAACGCTTTATTGCTTAAAAAAAAAAAAAACGCATGTACAGGATTTCGAGCAATGACCTAATCTCTTATGGAAAGACCTAAACCCACTGAAAGGATTTTAAACCTTTTTCATCCATTACAATGAGCCCAGAACGTGCTGTAACTGGTAAAGGGATCTACATTATGACACAGTGTCAGACATTAAACAGTGATTATTTTAAAATTATTTTTGGATTATTACATCTTTGTCGGGAGTTATTTTACAATTTATCTACAGCTGGTGATTCATGTTTAATACAAAGATCATTTAAATGACCTGAACACAGACATGACTATTCTTTAAATTGTAAGTTAGCAGGAACTGACCATGAAATTGATCAGGATATTGACACTTGTATATCAAAATAGCTAAGCTAGACGAAAATATAGCGATTGATTTTTAAAATAAATTCCCTGATCACTTCCTAGAAATTTAGGTAGAAAAGTCAAATAAGGATCAGCGCTAACACGCCACAATATATATATATTATAAAGAGTGTAGGCAGCACACTTATAAGGAGAGGGATCCTCTCTAGTACCCCCCCAATACAAACATAATATAGAAGATAAAAATACAAAAAAGGGTGCTCCTGTGGGGAATAAATTTATAAATAGAATAAAATAAATTTATAAAATAGCTTAAACAGAAGTCCAGATAACTTAACACTAGTCCAAGTAAGGTAATCCAAAACAATAGGGAACGATCTTTGTGGAGCAGCAGACTAAATAGATAATAGTGGTGTCATGGAATAAAACTTGAAATTCAGTAGGACATGTGGAGAAGAAACAGAAAAGGAAACTCCAATGGTATGGTATATTAATACACTGGGTTACAGAAGGTATATAAATGAGATACTACTCACAATATCCAGAGCTAAAATCCAGCTCTGGTTTGGAAAGCGTAAAGTTGAATAATCCCCACTCAAGGATATACGTGGTTCTTTAAGCTTCCAGTCTTGTGTAGTACTTTCCTATGGGAAAGCATTGTGATTGGCTTTGATCAACAGTTCTGAGGATGTCAGCCAAGCAGGCAGGTAAGTGGCAGAGCCAGCAGCAGCACACCTTAATAAAGGTAATATTTTACTATATTTAGGGTGGCTCGATGGTGTTTTTAACACTATAGGGTCAGGAATACATATATGTGTTCCTGACCTTATAGTGTTCCTTTAAGGATGATTTCTTTTCAGAGACGTCCCAATCAAACACAGAGAAATAAAACAACCAATGTGAACAAAATCAGCAATTAATCGGCTACCTATCGGGAAGCAGAGCATGATCTTTCTGTCTCTTTCATTGATTTATATGTTGTCTTCCATAGTTGCCAACAGTCCCATTTATATATGGACAGTCCCACTGCCTTAGCTCATGCCTCAGTATAAACATAAATTTTTTACCTCATTATTCCATTTTAAACATGGATTCCTTGGAGTTTATATTTGCTGTGTACAACAGCTTTGAAACACAACTCTGGAAGAGATGCAAAGCCAGTGAACCACTCAAGGAATCCATGTTTAAAATGGAATAATGAGGTAAAAAAGTGATTCTTTGTTGAATAATTTGCATATGTCCACCCAGAATCCCTTGCAATAGTAACATCACTGCAAACGTGAGATTTCTTTAGGAAAAAGCAGGTCTTGACTGGTGTGTGCAGATCTGTGTTAAACAATGTACTGTATTGACAATCCACTGACTTCAGGTGGAAGAGGTTTTCAATCACTTTTTTTCCCCGCCATAACTTTCTTGGTTATACATACATAAATTATTTTTAGAAATGCACCTATCAATATAGATTTTAAGCAACAAATCCTGCATGTTTTCTTTTTAGAAGCTATATTTAGTTTGTCCCCCAATTTGTTGTCATTTAACAGTACTGGGTTTTGTTTTTTTTAAGGAAAAATATATTTTTCTAACTTTTTGGCATCTTTCCTAGAATAAAGTGAATTTCTTCAAAGTCTCTTAGATCACAGATATTTAAAGGATTAAAGTACTAAATTAAAATATTTATGTTGGGAAGCAGCACCCCTCCGTTTTATTACATGACATTATTCTAGACAAAAAAGATTACACGATTCCACAGTAAAATGAGTCATGTTAAGTAACAAACTAAGATCTGTACTTATTGGAAGTAAAGGAAGTGTCTGTATTTAAAATGTATGTATTAAAAAAATTGTGAAAAGCTTAAAATGATGTAACAAGAAATAAACGTCTTACAAATCTATAAGGTTCTTTGTGGATTAAAATATAGTGGATAAACTTGGTTTCATTGTAATAGTTCAAATCAATCCTCTGCACAGGAGAACGTTTATTTTAAAATTGAATACATATACCAGCTGATTAACCATTAACCCTTTATCCTCCAAAATGTAAAATTTGGGGGCGTGGCTTGGACACGGGAGTGAATGGCCGCATGAGAGCCAAGCTCTGCTCGAGACAGGCCTAAATAGCAAGAATCCCGGCAGTTTTAGAAGACATGGCGACCAAAAGATCGAAAGCACAAGCAGGCAGCACTCCCTCCTCCACCCTTACCTCCTCCAAGACTTCCCTGTGGAGATTCTTCAAAGAAAAACAGGAGGCAGACATGCGGTCCAAGATGGCCGCGGCTGAGAAATCTCCCGCGAGCAGCGCGCCAGCCAGCCCTGCTCCCTCGGACAGCTCCACAGAAGAAGCAGATATTAAAACCATACTAACTCAGCTACCCTCCAAACTGGACCTCGAGGCAATGTTCTCCAAAATAGAAAGGAACTTTGGCGCCAAGCTACAATCTCTCCATGAGGAGGTAAGCCACATTGGCAATAGGGTGCAAACACTAGAAGAGGAGGGGGAAACAACAGCCCTACAAATGCATAACATACAAACTCTCCAACAAACCCAAAACGAGGCCCTAATATTCCTACAGAGGAAAATAGAGGACCTAGGCAATAGGGGAAGGCGCAACAACCTCAGAATTAGAGGCATTCCTGAGACCCCTGAAGGAACAAGTGAAAATATCCCACAAACCCTCACAAATCTCTTTAATCAGGCCGCTAGATCCACCCATCAAGTTTGACCGCGCTCACAGAGCGATCAGGCCAAGAGCGCTAACTAATGAGAAACCAAGGGACATTATCTGCAGATTCATAGTTAAATGCCATTATCAGTTATAAGTTATGTTAGAATATGCTAATGTTAGAATGCTACATATTTACGTATTATGTAAAAAACATATGCAGAAGGCCTAGAGTCTTGACGGGTCTAGACCACACAACCCCCCAAGAGGTGCCACAAAGAGCACGCAGGATCCACATGATCCACAGCGGGCTTGACACCATCTGGTTACAGCATGCACACCGCATGCACACTGTATATAATTTTCCTTGTTATGTTTTTCCCCCATATCCTCCCCCCCATTGGGTATAGGTACTCACCGTATCATTTAAGTCCGAGATGCCCCTACCTCTGGCCATTTTATGGACAGACAGCAGGTGGATATAGTATTACTCCAGGAAACATATTTTAGAGGGGATCAGACCCCCATATTGAGAACTAAATCGATGGGGCAATCATACTTTAGCAATTATCATGAAGACAAATCTAGAGGAATCACTATCCTGTTATCGTCCAGAAGAGCATTCATACTCCAAGACAGTAAACTAGACCCACAGGGAAGGTACATATTCCTCAAAGGTAAACTTAACAATACACTCATTACCCTAGTAAACGTTTATGCACCCAACAACAGGCAAGTCCCATTCATCAAATCATGCCTCAGAAAACTAGAGAATTTTGCAGAGGGTATGGTAGTTATGGGGGGCGACTGGAACATAGTCTTAGATCACTCAACAGACAGTTCAGCGACAGGCAGAGACATGCAAGCACACCAGCGTCTACTATTTCAGAGAGCCCTGCATGCCAATCAACTAGTAGACTGCTGGAGGATTGCCCACCCTCAGGAAAGGGATTACACATCCTTCTCCCAGGTAGCACATAGTTACTCTAGACTGGATATGTTCTTGATAGGACATAGACACCTGCACACACTAGTTCACTCATCCATTGGACCAATCAAATGGTCGGACCATGCCCCAATATTCCTTACGCTGTCTGTTGAAGAGAAGAGTGCCATTAGCAACTCATAAATGAATTACTACTGGATGACCCCAGGGTAATGGAGGATTTGAATAGCGCTCTACCCAGGTACTTTTTAGAAAATATAGAAAAAAGGCACAGCAGAATCCTGGGTATGAGAAGCACACAAAGGCATAACTCGAGGGATCCTGATTAAATGGGGAGCACGTATCAAAAAGGAAAGAGCGGCACAAATCCGATTTCTCACTGAAGCTATATCCACAGCAGAGTCTAACCACAAATCTAACCCTACACACGAAACATACAAAACATTAACAGCACTCTGAATAGAACTGCAAAATCTCCTTATCGTGAAAGCACATAGGGCAGCCCAGCTGACTAGGGGGACATATTACGCTCACGGCAATTAAAGTGGGAAATATTTGGCCAGAGCTCTAAAGGACAAACACCAAAAGACATAGATCTCTCACATTACGACAAAGGGTGGGACACGCCAAGACACGACAAAGGACATAGCCAAAACCTTCCAAAACTATTACAGTGGCCTCTATAACCTGGGATGTCCAGAGAGCACCCAACATAACATTGCAGCATACATTTCAGCCCACACCCTCAAGACACTAGACCCACAACAAACCGCACACTTAGAATCACCTATCCAGCCTGAAGAACTCCAAGTGGCAATAACAACTCTTCCCAAAGACAAAAGTCCAGGTCCAGATACTATCAGGCCTTCTAACACATATTAGCTCCAAGATACCTAGAAGTCCTCAATGCCCTATTACTCAATGATGTTCTCCCACCACCCATGCTGAAGGCCTTGATCACAGTTCTCCCAAAACCGGGTAAAGATCCAAGCATATGTAGTAGCTACAAGCCAATGTCCTTAATCAACCTAGATCTAAAAAATTTTGCTCAAATCCTGGCCAACAGGCTCAAACCACTTCTCCCTGACCTAATTCATGCTGCTCAGGCGGGATTCATACCGGGTAGAGAGGCCAGGGATAACACGACCCGACTCCTAAACATCATGCACGGCGCAACATCTTCAGGAACCCCCACACTGCTCTTATCAGTTGATGCTGAAAAGGCCTTTGACCGAGTAGACTGGGAATTTTTATTCACCGCACTGGAGTCACTGGGAATGAGACCAAATTATAGACGTTGGTTGAGAACGTTATATATACAGGCCCCTCAGCCTCGGTCAGGGTCAACGGGCAAGACTCCCCTCCGTTCCACATTAGCAATGACACCCGGCAGGGATGCCCCTTATCACCCCTACTTTTTGTCTTGGTCATGGAGCCCTTCCTCAATGCTATCAGAACTAACAATAACATCACGGGCTTCGGAGCCGGGGGAAAGGAAATCAAAGTGTCCGCCTTCGCGGACGATGTACTCCTCACCATCACTAGCCCGTAACAATCCCTCACATATGTTAAGAAGGAGATAGGCCAGTTTAGTGCCTATTCTAACTTCAAAATCAATGCAGATAAATGTGAAATAATGGGCTTGGGGTTGAGCGCAAGGCAAAAGACACTAATCAGCAACTCATATAGCTATAAATGGACCGAATCAGGCCTTTCCTACCTGGGCATTAAATTAACATCCACAATTAAAGGCCTTTATAAAATGAATTACATACCCCTGTTAAATGACATTACGTCCAAACTAAAACAATGGGACAAACCCCACTTCTCTCTCATTGGGAGGGTCAACTTTTCCACGGTCCCGTTATCCACCCTACCCTGGCAGACGTGCCACCTGCAAAAAATCGGAAAAATACCACACCCACTTATTCACCACCTTCTAAAGAAATGGAGACTACACAAAACCCCATGGGGCCTCTCCCCAGGAATCTCCCCACTCTACCCACTGGCAAACAATCCAGACATACTAGGGGGTAGGGGAGCTCCAACACTGAGGAAAATACTAGGGAAAACGGACCCACTCATAAGTGATATACTGACAACAGACACCCCTCCCAAAATCAAAACCATACAGGAGCCTGGGGGTCAGGGTTCGCTCACTGAAACACTAAGATGTGTGCACATATGCCACTTTTTCAAAGCACAGTGCTACCCAACTGGAGCCCTAGAGCTCTAACTTAATTTGAGCGATTTTGCAATGCCAAATCAGCGCACAAACGCACACTTTCCCAAGTATATAAATTGCTTCTATCCTCCCAAGGGGACCAAGAGACTCTTCCCTTCCAACGGAGGTGGATGAAAGGGCTAAACGTACACATAACATCCACCGATTGGAAATACATCCTAACAAAACCTATGGCAGCTTTGACGCGAATCCTTTTATAAACGTATCACACGATGGTACAGGACTCCGGATCTCGTACACCAGTTCTAGCCAACACTAAATGATAGGTGCTGGAGATGCGAAAGTGGGGTGGGGACAATGGAACCCATTTGGTGGGAGTGCCCACATATTAGAAAGTATTGGACAGATGTAATCGCAATAATAAAAACCATTCTAAAACTCCCACATTCACTGGCACCATCCCAGGTCCTGTTGGGCTGGCCACAAACCTTCCAAAACCCGAAAGCCCAACAACTGCTATGGTTGTTATTGGGAGAAGCAAACAACCTTATACCCATATACTGGAGGAACCCTGAGACCCCCACAGTGACACAATGGATAGATAGGGTAGAAGTAATGAGAGAAATGGAGAACCTACATTGGTCTACACTAGGCCATCACGACAAATACACAACCACATGGGAACCCTGGCTAAAGTACTGGGCGCAAAACGACAATAAATGTGGCCAATAATGAATGAACCTACACGGTACCCAATGGAACCCATTCTCCCCCCCACTACTGCCCCAGCTTACCCACTATGGGGAATCTACAGGACACTGACCCCCACCCATCCCCTGTACCAACACCCAGTTATAACCCTCAGCCCTGAGGTCTCATTGTCGAGAAAGGGGGAGACTAAAATACAGATCACTTGGTACTCCAGAACTCCTGAAAATCCCAGTGGGGGACCCAAGGAGATAAACTACACTGTTTACATCACATACCCAGAACCCAAGGGGTGTAATCCCTACAGGGATTCAGAGAGGTTAGGAGAAGATAGTTCTTCCACAGGAGTTAAGGGAAGAACCAAGAAAGTATTGTAATATTTAATGTAACTACCATGTGTTGATTATACAATGTAACAATCCATCATGCAAATCTGTTGCTTTATGCCTGTTGTGATCTCTCCCCCCTCGACAAACCCCCCTCCTTCTTCTCTTTCTGTACCCCAATCCCGTTGATATAAACCAATAAAATTTGAATTAAACAAAAAAAATGTAAAATTTGGTCTATAAAGCTCCACTTGTATTTTCTTTTGCTCCATTGTTGGTTTTCACCAATAATCTTTTGTCTCTCTGTGTCTCTGCAGAGAAACTTAAAATGGAGCTGTTGGTTTCCTTTCTGACGGAACCACTTCTTTCCACCCTGTAGCAACAATTGTATGTCATACTTGCCTACTTTAGTATGACCGCAGCATCCTGGGAATGGGTCCTCAATGGCATCCAAATCGGCAGTCTCCCTGCAGTCTGGTCTGGTCCAGTGTTCTGCATCAGCGTGATGACTCTGTGATGACGGAGCTGCTGCGGACATCCGTGCAACGTGTGGAGCCTCTTTGGATGGGGCAGGGGGTGCTGGAGGAGCAGGTGGGAACAGTCCTGATGCAACCAACATGGCATCGGGTCCTTTATTGCCATTGGGGGCAAGGGGGAGGTGGGGGCCAGTCATGTGATCAGCTCTCCCTATAAATACGCAAGCACTGCACATGGTCAGTGCTTGGTTGTTCTGGTGCTTGCCCCATCCTCCTATTTCCTGATCCTAGTTCCTGGTTCCTCTTCCAAATTCATGGATTTCCTGGCCTCTGACCTTTGGCTTGACTCTTGACTTTGCTTCTTTGCTGCCAGTCCTGACCATTGGACTGCCTGATACTACTTCCTTTCTGCTACTTCC